GTCTTTTTAGGCTACTCTCTGGTAAGCTATTATCACGCTCGACCCTACTTTAGGCCCTTGATAGCTTCGCAGTCATATCATGTTTAAGGGGCCAACTCGGTTAGAATCTTGATAGCTTCGGCTATATCTCTTTTTAGTTTAGATTAGTTTTAGTTTACTTCTTAGCCTCTTAAGTTCAAGCCCAAGTGTCGGCTTTTATTGTACACTCCAAGATGGAGTTCTGTTAAATCGTATTTGAATAATAAAGGTTTATTTACCCTTCTATCTTGTTGTTCCTTGTCGCACGAACTCAAGCGATTATTCGCTTACTAGTTCTTAAGATTCTTCACGTTCAACTGTTAATTAGCATTTATAAAATTAAGATCTCTGCAATATATTATTAGGAAAAGTGTTGGAATGTAAAATTTATATTTATTTCAAGAATGTGTAGGTTCAGGATATAATTTTCCGTACCTTCAATGATAAACGTTTCAGTTAGAAGTTGGACTGTACAAAATGTATTCTTTGCAAATGTTAAATTACGAAATTGTGAAAAACATATATATATATATATATATATATATATCATAGAAGCAGGCGCATCCAAAAAAAAATGAAGAGAGAACGAATTTTGTGATACATCCGACCAGATTTGTTTTCTATTTTATAAATACATTTATCAGAATTTAGAATTCAAAATAATGTTTATATTGAAAATATTAACACTCGTTTTTCTCGTTTGTTATTTAAAAAACTATTATACAATCATCAGTTCCGACACCAAATCAAATACCGGGGAAAGAGCTTTGTAAGCATGAATATTTTCATAGATTTTTCCTTATGTAAGGTGAATTCCCTTAATAGGTATTCGCCAAAGGCAACTTTCTTCTTAGGCAGATAGCTCGCAAATCCAGATAATCCAATTCAATCTAAAGAGAGAGCCAATGTTGGACTAACTACTATTACATTTCATTGTTGTTGTTGTGACTTATCTCACTTGTCTGACAGTAACATCCGAAAAAGCCCGCGAAATAATTCGCGGCAATGAGTGCAAGATTGAGCCTGTCGTTAACAAAAGCCTTGAGCACCATAAAGAGGACAATAAAACTTTGCAATAAAACTTCCCGTACCTCCAACCTCTCGAGAAGACTTTCAGCTTGCCGCATGTTTAGAGTACCTCTATGCCACACAGACATTTTACATTTACAAACGGTACGGCAGTCAAAGTTTTTAACCACTATTCCGTTTGAGCGTCATCACATTTCATTCGTTAGGTAAGTCCTCTTATTAATAAAGTGGATCTGGAAGAAAATATAAAAGTTTTAAACATTCTAGAAAAATTCTGTGATAAAAATGAAAAGAATTTTATAGTATTCTCAAGATGCAACACGAATATTAAAGGAAAATCACTCATCGAAAAACACTTCATACACTGTACATGCTGTACAAAAACTACGAATATGTTTTCAAATATTATTACCAAATGTTTTGCAAATGAAATATTCTGTGACGTACAGCCGAATTATTATTAAAATAAAATATCTTTTATCAGTTGCATTTACATTCTAACTTATCCCATCATTAAGTTGAATTTCTATATGTTTTAAATCAAGAGTTGTAAGAAACGTGTAATCAGTGAAGCCCTAACTGCTACTGAGTTTACTGGTAAAGGTCACTCATTAACTTTCTTCGCAACTTTAAAAAAGTAAAAATGTTTATCCACTGTAATAAACGAGACCCTTTCCTCCAACTCGATAGCAAAGTCCCTTCTCCTTTCTCTTAAGCGCTGAAAGCCCTGAGGAAAGTGAACAAGGACCATCAGATTGCATTTTTTCCTCCGGGCATCTATTATGTCAAAAACTTTCCTGGACGTCCAACAAGCGTTGGAGGTTTTCATCCAAAAATCGAAGGTGAATGAAAGAAGCGGGTCTTTTCTGGGAATTATCGATCGCTTTCCATTAACATACGAGTCTAATGATCAGCGACCCATGACCCTAAAAGTGCTCGAAAGTCAATGGAGCGAATGAGAAAAGAAAAGAGAGTTCTTAACAATAGAAGTAAATGGTGGTCTGATAGTCGGTGGCATCGATTTCAAAACTTGCTGATCACTCATTATTTTTAAAAGCTGACTAGCAGGTAAAAGATTCTAAAACTTTCTCCGCATTAAGAAAGCCACAGTTGTTTTGGCAACTCAAGATGCTCCAGAACTAGGTCTGAAAATAGATTTTCTTTACAGAACTGCACGCTTATCGCCCTAGAAAGCATATCAGTCATAGCCGTCACCAAAATATTTGGTTCAGTGTTAGTTTAGAAATTTCATTATATCTTACCTGGATATTATATTACCTGGATATTCAAAAGCTAAGAGAAGAAATGTCTTCGTGAAGGACTTCCTAGGGAAAAAAAGCTGTTATTCACAATACACATGGAGAAAACAATAGAAACGACCTAAGCAGCCAAATGTCTGCTTGGGTCGTTCCAGCATTCAGTGCTCTTAACCACTCTGCCATTAGTGGAGCATTACACCTTACGGAGAAACTTCTGGGCTCTGAAGAAGAATGTTATGATTTCGTGTAAAAAGAAATAAATCTTGGTACTCGATTTGGAATATAATGTGGTAGGAATTACGTTATATATTTCATATTTTCACTTTTATACTTTACATTTTATATCTTATACTTTATTTTTTTTTTATTTTATACATCTAGAGATAGAAACTCTTGCTGAAAATTTCAAGAAATGCAACCAAACACTATAGTTTCGAATTAAATTGAAATAGTTACTTACCGAAGCACTGTTTGTTTTAATTTTAAAAATTTTGATTTTATTTCATTTAATAATACTGACAGTTCCAATTATCTTTAAATATAATTACTATAATATTCATCACTATTGTAATATTTTTAGCTGAGCTCTGCTTAAACTGAGCAGTTTCTTACTGTGAGTCAAAGTACCGTTTCTGTATTGGAATAGTAAATCTTTGTTCTAAGGTCCAATGAATACAGAATGTCACAAATAATGTTTGTACTTTTGAATGCTAAAAAATGGGTATTCTGAAGTCACATTAAAGTTTTAAAAGTTCAAAACAATCATCATTAGTAAAAACATATTGCCGTGAATGATCATCAGTAGTAACAATATATATATTGTTGCGTGCCTACGGATTCGTTATAGATTGAGTGCACACAGGTCCGATGATAAGTTGATAAGATTTATTTTATCAATAGAAACAGTGCAGAGTTCTGTAACTTTCCTCAAAAATACAGTTATAAGTGTTCACATTATCATCACAGAGTAATTTCAAACTACTAAGAACGTTAAACACAAGAAAATGCAAAACGTATAAGGCGAAGCTTTCCAATTAATACCTCAAAATAAAAACTGACAGCCGGTCTTATATAGGTTTTACTCGGCCGCCGAAATATTTCTAGCACTTTCTGCTTCTCTATATTATTAGAAGGCAGGCCGAAAGGCGTTTATAGGGCATCTAAAATAATTACAATTATTCAATTACAATACCAATTACGGTGATACGGTGATAAAATGTTGGTGATAAAATGATTTGCCACGCTTGGCGACTTTTGGTGACTCGCCAAATTTGGAGACAAAAATTAATCGCCGAAACCCGTTGTCAGCTTGGCGATACCTCGCCATTTTGCCAGTGTTAAATAGACTTGCTCCAGCATTCTTACTTATTCAGCAAGCTTCACTTTTTTAGATTTTATTGTAACATTCATTATACAAAAGAAACACAACAATTTTCACATATAATTTCACTAAAATTATCTATGTGCAAAATTCGTAACAATCTATACGTTTTCGAATGGAGCAACAAAGAACGAATATAATTCCAATGAGAAAGGAAACGCCGACAGTCACAATTTCATATTTCTTATTATAAAATTTAGTAATTTCCTTTGTTACCATTGATTTGTGCAATCAAACTTTAAGGCAGCGAATTTTAATTTAGTCTAAAGTAAGAACTGAAACTTGAAAAGAAAAATCACTTTTATTTAAAACTAAATAGAACAGATGAGGCTCACTTGTTGCTTACAGCTTAGCCAACCACTTACCGCAACATAACTTAGCATTAAGTCAAATGTAAAATTTAATTTTAATAAGCCATTAGTCAAAGGCTACACAAGTTAGTTATCGCGAAATTGGCTCAAACCTTAACCGGCGTGGATATTCAATTATCCGCAATTATTATACTCGCTATACTATTATAATGCAAGACCCAAGACTACAAATCTTATCTTATCTAGCAACCTAGCAACGTGGCCTCGAGAGGCAGAGCAAGCTGTGTCTTATAATCTAAAATCCTCGGCTTAAATAAAAGCGAATTTATTTTCATCGAGGTTGGCTTTTAATTAATTTGCATCTAATTACTAATTAATCTAATTTATTTGCATCTAACTAATTTCCAATCGAGGGGGAATTTTTAAGGAAAACTGGCTTGTATTTACGTTACACATAGATGAAACTATGAAAACATGCTTGCAGCCCGTGTGCCACAGAACAGTAGTTTGACCGGATTTGGATCACGACTGAACTACCAGTGTTCTATGGTGTCATCTGCACGTCCGCCCATGGGCACCGAATATGAAACTAAAAACAACTAAACTCAGTGGCGCAACAGTGTCCCCCAAATCTGCTTTCTTGATCTTGGGACCCAGAGTGCGTCAGCATATGCCCTGGGCAAGTTGTCAGCTTGTCGCAGGATCCTCCCCCTCCCGGTGTTTAGTCCCCATACGACCTTGGTATTAATTATGTCGAACCATTCAATGGTTGAAAGACTGAGTCAACCTTGCCTAGCCCGGGGATTGAACCTCGGACCTGTGGTGAAGCTGCGCGATGCGCTAGCCACTGCGCCACCGGGCTTTTTTCCGAATATGAAACAGCTTTTATAAAAACTGCGAGCATGGTATCATAGTAAAATATCTGAGTTGTTATTTCTTCGAATATAAATATTCTCTATTAGTGAGAAGTGATATTTTTAATGTCTTTTTGTATTCTTACAGAGAAATGTGACTTAGACTGCGGCTTCCAAGGTCACTGTGAAAATGGCCAATGCATCTGCGCAGAAGGCTGGTCGGGAAGTAAGTGTGATGAGAAACTGTGCGATCCCCGATGCAAAGATAACGGACAGTGCAGAAATGGAACATGTCTTTGTATACAGGGCTGGAACGGAAAACATTGCACTCTTGGTGAGTACACGTGTATAAATATTTAGTTCTTTTCATGTACGTTTTTATTATGATACAGCAGCTGTGAAGATTACAAATTAAATCTCCGCAATTTTAAGACGGTATGAATTTTTATCACATAAAACTACCTGTTTGTGTACAAAGTTTCGCTAAAATAAAATTTAACACTTTCATTAAAATGATGTGCTTTTAAGAATAAAAAAAAATACTAGAAAATGGAAGAATATTTTGGTACTTAAATATTAACGCAACCATATTAGTAGGCCTCGTCATGTTTTCAGAATGTGCCAAATTGTGACAATCGGGATTGTGAACCATTCTTCCGGCAACCGTTCTCATAACAATACTTTAGTCAAGAAACACCGCCATTTTCGAATGTTTTTTTTTATTCCAAGTTTCAATTGTTTTTATTAACAAAATGTGATTTGTTTTTTGCCTTACACTTAGTTTTAAATAATTAACGTGTGGAATTTGCCAACAGTGGTAAAATTCCTGCGGTAAAATTTCTGCAGGAGAACAGAATTTTGCTGAAACTTTTCTAAAATGAATACCTAGGAAATGCGTTTCCTAGTAGTCGTTGACGTGGTGTGTACGAAACTAAGTCTCCGCAGTTATCTAATGTTTATTGAAACGAAAATGATACCGCTGTGTTCTTCGGTAGAAGAATTAGCATACACACAAAAAAAAAAAAAAAAATACTGAAAGATTTGAAGAAGAATGTAACTGATTTTTAATGTATCATGTAACCCTTATTTAAGAATCCAAATTTGTATTTTAAATTTCTAAAGTATGTTTTATTTTTATATGCTAATATTGTTTACCGCCTTGGGATAAATATCGATATATTTGGAACCTTTCTTAAAAAAAAGCGCGAAAAGCGGCAGATTGCACCCGATAAGCAACTTCTGCCTTTTCATCTGTAAAAAAAGGCCAAATTGCACCTAAATTGTTACATTAATACGTAAGTTAGAATACGTTTGTATATGCACTGCAAAGTCCGAAATTCAGACTTCCACTATTCTGATTTGCAAACCAGTAGGAATTTTCTTTAGGATTGGGTTTCTTTACAAGCTCTAAGAATGGTCAATATAAAACTCTAAAAAAACAAAGAAAGCCGTAAAAATGCTTTTTCTGCCCGACAAATTGAGATTCCTCTATGTCACTTTCAAACACTTGCTGTTTAGAGAATCACACCATAGCCAATGACAAGACACTGCCGTCCGTCATGGCCGCTCTTGAGATTTGGAGGTTAGCATTTTTCTTTCAGCCCTGAACAATGAGTCATAGTTAGACATAGTTATTTGAAGTAGGATGTTGCTCATACTGGTGTTCTTTTGTTGGCATAGCAACGAGGAATACAAAATGGGTACTTTTCCGTTTTGCCGGCGCAGGCGATAAAGTCACCAATAATGGTACAACTGATGCCAAACAGAATATCCTCGCTGTTAACATTTTACGCCTCATTTTCAAAACAAGTCGCAGCCATTTCTTATCAGATTGGTTGTTCTTTCAATATTGGTATACAATTACATAGAATGTTTACCCAGATAGTTCTATTTTATGCCTTAAGGCCATTCGCGGAAATTAAATCAATTAGGATGCAATCACACCGCTCATCTGAAGGCAAAAATTTAGAAAAGGCAAAGTCAAGGGTCAATCAGTTCTAATGAGAATGCACTAGCGAAGTAAAGCACTGCGGTTCTACATAATTTCTGAGTAAGCTATTCGTACGAACTGAAATAATTCCCGCATTAAAAAATTGTATTCCAAATTAAAATTTAACTTGAAATGAATGTAGATAATTACTGAGAAAATTAGATTTTTGTAGCGTAGTTTACGTGAGATGAGATCACTTGGGATCACGTGATATGAACCGGCGAATCGGGATGTTGAACCGTAAAACCATAGTAAATTCTTAAATTAATGTCTCTTTACAAATTTATTGGCTTTTTACAAAATTTTAAACGATATTAAAATGTTTATGCCATCAAAATACAAAATTCTTAGAACTAACATTTGTTAGCGTTTTTTATGTGTATACTTTATCAAAATTACAGCTTTAGGAAATGATAACGTCTTTGTTTTACTTTTTCTACGAACTATTATCTGTTAATTAGCCTAATTTATCCGTTAATCAGCCGATGGATATCGGAATTTTTTGGGCATTGAAATGCAGATATAAAGCAACATTTTAGAAATAATGTTAAAATAACGCCATCCAAGAATTCTAGAAACATTTGCATACAAAATCCCATGTGGTGGGGGACATTGCAAGATCGTCACAGGGTATGTCTGCAGATATTTTTTAAAAGCTTGACATAATTTATAAGCAACCAAATTTCATGATGATGATGAGAGCTGCGAATCTGTAGGTTGAAGAATCATTAGGTTATTCTGAAACAGGAAGGGTGAAAAATGTGCTCTCCATGACTCGAATCATGGACCTCTCGAATACGCATCGAGTATGCTTCCAATTATGCTGCAAAGGCATGCGGAAAGGAGGGAGAAAATACTTTATAAGGTTTCCGGAAATTACAAGAAAAAGTAATGTTTCCCAATTAATTGAATTGAGAAAAAAATACTAAATGAAGATGATATGACCGAAGATACTGTCTCAACTATCAATAAGTTAAAAGAATGGCGAATATCTCTAGCATGAATATAAGTTTACAGAATATCGCCGTTTAGTCTCCGAGTCACATTTTAAGTTCACGTGATGATGTTTCAGGAAAAATCTTTCTTTACGCAAACTTTTTTACGTTTTTTCTTGTCTTTCTATATTTGCAATAAATTCTACATGTCATTTTACTGTATTTAAGCTATTTAAGCTGATGATACGAAATTCAGAAATCTCCGAAATCCGAAATCGCCGGTCTCGACATTTCCTGCTCTCGGAATTTGTAAGTTTTATGAGTTAAATTAAACAAATATCAAATTATCGATACCTACAGAGTTCGAAATTAATAACATAAGTCTCAGTAACAAGTGCACCTTTTGAATAAATCTTATTCTGCTACCTGAGTTCTCTCATGGTATGTGTGATGTAATTCTGTCGTTTCTTGAGAATGTGCTTTCTTTCTGACCAATCAGCTCCTCTTACGCGAAACGGATTTGTCATAAGAATGATACTTATAAGAATATGATTCTCATTCCATCTGACAGCCAAAATATAAAAGAGATGTAGAAAAAGGAAACTATTTCACTTTCAGACATTTAGGATATAGATAAAGGTGCACTGCAATGAGGTGCTCTTATGCCACAGCTGTACTCACCTAGAAAAGGCAACCTATGGTCGTAAAAGGGCTCTGCCAGTTTCCAACGAACAAACAAGGACAGTCAACGATCCAGCCATGTCCCAAACCAAAGACAGCGTAACTTTCAAAAAGCTTAATTAATTGATAAAGCTTCGGAAAACCAAGCCATGTGTCTTGAGTACCCAAAAACGTAAATACGAAAGAAATGGAAGAAAATTAAAACTATACAACAAACAGTATAACATATTGTTACGTTTTTTTCTGACACCAATTGTTACGTTATTTTCTTCTTTCACGTTCGTACGGGGTTCGTGTGGATTTGGAGGGAATAACGACGACAGCACTTGATGGAATATCGAAACACACTCTATTGGCCGATGTTAATCAGGACAGCTCCAAAATCTCGTTTGCAGTCGTCGAACTGTTATAAACACGCTGACACAATCAGCGACAGCTTTCATGTTATCAAGCTATCACGGTGAAGACAGCTTCACTGCAAAGCACCAGAGTACAGCTCCCGACACTGCTTGGTCATTCTCGGAACTCCACGTACTCTCCAGACTCTCCACGCTACAACTCGCGATGATGCATTTGACGACACACAGAGCACAGCTCCGACTCTTCGGGGTTCAGTCGTTCCCGAAGCTCAACACGCTCTCTCGACGATGCACTAACCGCGATATACGAAGAGACTCTTTCGATGCACTGGACGACTCACTTGGCACTCGCTGGCCGGTTGTCAACTCGATCGACTCCGCACGGATTGACTTGCTAGACGAGACACCAACTCGCACTCTACCAACAGGGTTTATATAGCTTTCGACTTGTGTTCGAGAACATTCTGGGCTAAACCGGTAAAGAATTCGTTCCAGAAGGTTCTTCATCCATCCATGGCATATCGCCAATATTGTCGCCAAATGGGCGATTACTTGGCAAATGGGGCAACCCTGTTGTCCCTTGCCATTTTATGGCAACCCTAGAACTGCTTTGCGAGGAAGTTATCTTACCGTACCTGTACATTTCGTAACAATATTAACCGTTGATTAAGGAAAAAAAAGGAAATCTAAAAAAATATTATAATTAACAAATAGCACATATATTTCTCTCTCGCTTGAAGTATAGCAATATAGCAAAAAGAGAACTAAATAAATAAAACACAACACAAAAAACATAAAAGTATTAAAAAGAAAATTCTGCAAATTTATTGCTTCCGATACGGTATCGACAACATGTTATGAATCACTTTTATGATCAAAACTTGATACTATAATATATACTTTTATCATTTTTTCACGTCTGTCAGTTTGTTTGTGACATCATTTCGTCCGCAACGGCAGGGAGTTGAGGTTTGAGAGATTCGAAATTTCGTGGGAAACGATTTCGACCGTTCTCATCTTTGTACGACTTTCATCAGCCAGACATTAATTAAAAACTCTTAAAATGCTAATTTTCACACTCATTTTTCCGAGTGGCAAAAAAATCGCTCGCTCGAGATAAAAATCAAAATCACGTTCTGACGTTGAAAAAAGCACGCAATCGCATGTGATATCACTGTATGTCGAAAATGTTTTGTTAATTTGAGCATTCTATAAATACTTAACTGCTGTTGGCAGCTTGTTTTGTTTCAGGTTAGGATAATTGACACGATATGTTATTGCCACGTTAATTCTTTTATTGATATAGAGGAAAAGTTGGTATGTTGCATTAAATTTAAATCATAACATCATTTGCATGCCTGAATTTTCAAAAGATTTTGTTTCCTGGTTTGGCAACAAAATTTTTTTTACAAATTGGTTATTGCTTGGAAAGAATTGCCGTGTACATAGAACTTATAAATTTTGCTTTGGCCACAGCGTTCCAGTTAACGTTATCATTTGGTGCCAACAAAAGAGTCTGCATATTCTTCTCTTTGATGCATTGCCTACGACAAGTTACGAAGCATTTCATAACTATTTTGTCTGTAACTTTTAGATCAGCTGCAAAATTCCATTCTATTAGTTGATGCAAACGGGAAAATGAGAAGATTTGTGCTTTTTACATGGCACCGACGATATATTTCGTATTATTATATCTCTGATGCTTTTAAATTTGCAATTGGCTCTCCTAGTTTAGTGCATTATTTGATACAAAGTGTTAGTGTTTACTTTAGCAGTCCACTAACGGCCTGAAATTTGTGTATATTTCCACTGACACATTGACAGTAATCAAGGAAATGTACATTTAGAGTCAACGTAGGGACTACATTTTAATCAGCACTTCTGAGTTAAACCCGAAATGTTTAACGTCACAGACTATTTGGCTAAGTGCAAAGGATTATATAAACGGTTTCCTGCATTATTGTCGGTAGAACAATGAAATCCATCGAAAGTAAATTAGCATTTACATGCAACACAAAGCGGTATTTTTATTTCCTTGATAGTATAACGAATAAAATCATTATTGCCAGAGCTTCAAGAACTTTATTACTCGAGGGTTTTCTTTGTTTGTAACGTAGCATTAACAAAAACCAGAATTCTTGAACTTTTCTTTATACCTGTGGTTTTTTTCGGGAATAATATAATGCATGAAGAATTGGACATAGAACAATTTCGTGCCTGCTTCCATCACCTGGCATAAAATTTCCCATTAAATCTTAGGAACTTAAAGAATAAAATCATTCCTACCTTTAATTATGATCACAATTCTCGTAACTATATGAAGCGGCCAATGGCCGAGTTAGGTAATTATTTGTATTTCATTATGTTTATGTATTCTGTTTACAAATTCTGTGCCATTTCTTATTGCTTCTTCATTAATGTATAGTGAATGTTGCCTAAAATTTTTCCACGTGTTTGTGTAATTACGCTGGTCATCAAAATTAAAGCATAATGAAAGTAATAGAACGTAATTGATACTTAATGTAAAATTATTAATAGAAATTTGTACAAAAGCATTAGTTAATATAATTACAATGTTTGGCAGTTGATCATTCGTAAAATATTGAAATTAACTCTGTAGAATCGGTACTTACTGTCTAGGAATATGATGTCTGTAAACTTACTTCTTTTGTGGCTGTCTAGGGGCTAATAAACTAGTCCAATTTACAAATAACTTGAATATTTAATGGAAGGCATGAATAGTTGCTACAAACTACAAAATGATTAGAAGGATGAATTTACACAGATGATATTTACAAATGAAGAGAATCGATCGTCTTTTACATGTAAATATCTTTCAGTCGCATTATCGTCTGACTTCTATCATCGGAAAAGTAAAAGATTTATTCTAACAGCTTGTCGTGTCATCCGATTATAACGAACGATGCCATCCCACAAAACTAAATTTATGGAAACTAGAAAATGATGGGAAAATTAAATCATCTCTTATAGAAAAAAAATTTCTTTAATATGATGTACGGTCACCTCGGAAAGATATGCATACCTCACATGTTGATTTCATAAATTCTTTACCAAAGCGTTGATCACGTTGTGTAGAACAGAACGCCACTCTTCTAAAATTGTACCTTTCAGCCTGCGAAGAGTCCGTGGAGGAATTTGACGTGCTGAAATTCGGTGCCTTAAGGCATCCGATACATGCTCAATCAGGTTCAAGTCGGATGAGTAAGATGGCCAATCCATTCGAATAATATTTTCTGTTTGCAAGTATTCTGATACTACATATGCTAGATTAAGCCAAGCATTGTCATCCATTAGCAAACCTTCTAGTCCAAAAGCACCCTAAACAGTCTAACTTGGGATTTCAATATCTCGTCCACATATCTCTGAACGGTTACAGAACATTCACACATACATTCATGCAGATTCTTCATCATTTAATTTCTTTAAATATGTAGGGTCTACTTGTCTAACTTCTAAGTGAGAACTTTAAGAGTAATCGAGGCTAACACAGTACGCCTCCCTTTGGCGGTAACTGAAATCACAGAACTAAACTAAAAATTCCAAGATATGCACAAGTAGTAGAACTAAGCACCAGGGTTCAGATAATTCCTGTTTCTTAAACCCGCGTCGAAACGAGTGGCGGCAAGTAATTGCAGTTAAGCCACATAAACCAAACAGTAACTCCGGAAGCAGAAGCTTACGCAACAAAGGCGACGGCAATAGCCTAACTCTCTCTAACTTTCCAACCGAACCTCGGTTTTTAAACTTTTTCTTCACAAGGTACAATCTGCATTCCTTCACGCGCGCTACCAAATTTAAATATTTTGACATTCACAATTAGGGAAATGAAGACTTATAGGAAAGTTTAAAATTAAAACTTAACTTGTTAGTTAAAAATAAATATAAATTCCTACAAATACAATGCAGGACTGTAATATTTGGTGGCAACAATTTAAAAGTGAAACTCTGTTTTATAGTGGACGACGCAAAATGCCAAAAGGAAATTAATAGCCCTTCTGGGCAAATCACCCCCAAAATATATTTATCTTGAACGTAAAAATCAAAACACATTAATTTAAGAAAAACAGTCAAATAAATTATTAAAACGAATTTTTAAAGCGCATATGAATAACTTCATAATTAACCCTGTGCTTACCTATACCACTGAGCTCAAATCATTCAAATATACGTTAACTGTTCAATCGATTATAGGAACTCGTTAAAAGTTAGCAAATATCCAAAAAAAAATTTAAAGCTCTTTTTGCATTCTTGTCTCCTCATTTTGCTGAAAAAATAATACAATGTAAAAATAAGTTGCTCAAGGCGTAAAAATTAAATTTGTATTTAATTGAATACGTAATAAATACTCGCTAATAAACGGTTAGCCTAAAACAACCATTGTTTTAAACACGGAAACTGATTATCTGAAAAAAAAATCTACATCACTAACCCTTTTTTTCATTCTTTAGATAATTCGAAATTCTGCTGTCATTTTTTCTGACCAGCTGCAGTGATTTCAAGCCATCACTTTATTTCTAAAAAATTTTGCCAGAAAATTGTTTTATTTATTTATGCTCTTTCTTTTTGCAGAGGGTTGTCCCAAGAACTGCAACAACCACGGCGATTGTGTTACAGGTGAAGAAGAGGAATGGGAGTGCTCCTGCAAATCGGAATGGGAAGGACCGGATTGTTCCGTTCCCCTGGAAAAAATTTGCGACGACAACATCGACAATGACAACGGTAACGTATTTATACGGTACATAAGCGTAATACTGTAGTTTCTGCAAAGAGAGAAGGGTTCCTCCCCCCACAATTTTTGCTGTTTTTACCTAGTGTGGGTATTTTTTGTTTTTCGTTAGATCCGTTCGTAATATAAATAGTGAATAAAAGTGATTTAATTTCCTTCTCAAAAAATAAAAGTTTCGAGCATTAGCATTCGGAAGTGCTTGTAATCTTCTAAAACCTCCAAATAAAACTAGGAAGCAGCACATAAAAAATAACTGTGAATTTTATAACGAAGATTACGGCAGTGATTCAAACTAGAAAACAAAATTTTGAGTTGCACATTATAGATAATGCATTTGCAATATATATTTTAAGCTTAAACAAGTGAGCTTACCGTCCCTTAAAAGGCCTTGACTACTTTTAATTGTGACTATTAAACATTTTTTTTCCAATCTCTATAAAGCTGTTAATAAAGAAATGTTATTTAAACCTCTCGCTGATTCTCGGTTGATTTTTCTAATGACTATTATATGAACAGCAATTATAAACTTAAATTTAAAAAGTACACCTTGCACAAAAAATGGGACAGTTCTATATCTCCCGTTCTACTGGACCGATGGTCGAAATTTAACTTGCGTTTTCCATGTCTCGAGGGCGCGACTTAGGATATATATTAGATTTATGTATAACAATTATTCTAACATAGCTATTTTGATACAAAATCGGGCTTTTTCTGAAATAACTTACCATTGTTTTTTCAAATTTCGGTTCTACGACTCCAATTAAGTCTGGATATTACACATAGCAAATTCAAATAACATGGAGAAGCTCAAATTTTGAGAGCTAATTTTTTTATAAATTACTCGTGCGATTTTTATAAAACTTGTCACTTTGGCATACCTTGAGTCGTAGAATCGAAATACGAAAAACCTTTGGTATGCTAGTTCAGAAACCATCCGATTCTGTGTCAAAATACCTATGTTAGAACAATGCTATATATAAATCTAATATACGTCCTAAGTCGTGCTTCCGAGACATGGAAAACGCAAGTTAAATCTCGTCAAACGGTCTAGTAGAACGCGAGATGTAGACCTGTCCTGTTTGTTTGTGCAGAGTGGATCTGTGAAAATTGTTCAGTTTCTTTCTTATCAAAGAATGTAAGGTTTTTTTTTTTCAATTATTTGATTTTTTGACAATATTGCTGTAATTACCAGGAAAATTACACCAGACGTAAAAACAAATTAAAAAAAAAATTCTCAAAGGTTTCAGATTTTGAATTACGTCCAAAGGGGTGTTTTTTAACGCACCTTTATTTATTAAATAGCATGTTCTTCGCACTTATACCATAAATTTCACTTCAATAGCAATGTCGCAAAATAATTTTAAAATGAGCCTATCTTTAGAATTTCCGATACACAGTTCCGCGCTCGCTGGAGATAAAAAGGTTTCCCGCCGTAGAGTGTTGCCATTGCTCGCTTTCAAATCTTTGAGTTTGTTACTCAAAAATTTTTTTAAAGTTTTACAAAATATGAAATCGATCATAAAACAAATTCCAAATTTCAAATTTCAAATTTGGGCTTCCACCTGCCCATATTCGCAGTAGGATTTCATCATTCAAAATTCGATGGCGTCTAGGTACCGTTGTTTTATCACAATGCGAGAAATATACATACATTTATGCAGATTTTTAATTTCTTCAAATATAATGCAGGACTCTAACATTTGCTGGCAACAGTTTGAAAAGTGAAACGGACATTTATAGTGATTCAAAGCAACAGTCCTTCAGGGACAAAGCGTCTTTGGGCTAATAATCTTAGAACTCTGCAGTATCCAAAACAAACTATGTATATGTAGTCGTACCTACTATTTGGAATGCTCCAAGACCATATGACACAGCTAAGACGATCTGCATTTTTCTCTAAAGAAGCCATGTGTAACTTTTTGATCTTAGGTGGAGAACTCCAAATACCCGTATTAACTGGAACAAAATACCATTCGGATGCTTGAAAATACAGATAATTATTTTTTAACTGCCGTTTTAACGGGCATTTAGAGTAATGAAGTGATAATATCTTATCTTTTCTTTTATCATATGTTATCTCATTAAAAGCGATGCAGTTGAAAGGTAAAATGTTAAAAAGTTAAGCAATTGAAAAAATTTTTAATTTTAATTCCGTAAAACAGAATATAAAACTCATTTTTCTAGAGGTACATAAGTAATGAAGTTACAGAGAATCCATCTGGAAGATCACATCCTTAAGACGACCATCTCTAAAAGTAACCAGCCTGTCTCAGACACATAAACAAATATCTGCAATCCATTTTAAAGAAGATAAATAGAATTTATTTGTTTAACTACGTAAGCTCTTTTACCCAAAATAATTATATTTATTCGGCTGATTACGATGAAGAATAGAAACAATTAAATTCCAATGAATTGAAACAGTAATAAATTGAGTACTGTTATGTCTTTCAAACAAGTAACAAAAAAGCATATGCTGCGATTCAACTAAAATTATTTCTGTCTAAAATGGAGCTAATATTCTTACGTAGTTTAATTACTAAAATTCTTACTGAAATTACACGCAAAAAAATTTGTTTTGCTTTTTCCTTACTGTGAAAAAATTAACAAAGGCATGCATTTTATTTGCACACGATGAGACATAAATTTTGCATTTTAAAATCCCTTTAGAAAACGAGGCTTATTATGCAGCAAGTAAAGACTCAAGAAATAAATAAAGAACAATAGAAGCATTTTTAGTAAATAACTGCTTTTCTCATAACACTTAAAAGTTAAGTATTGTTAAGAGTTGTAAAGCAGTCTACTTATCACACATATGTATCTATATTAATTTATTTAACAGTTTCTTAAATATATGTGCGGTGTATTATGTATTTATGTCATTAAAATTAATAAAAACTTTAAAACGTATAAATGAATTAACATAGTATATACTTAGAAAAAAGAAAAGCAATCTGGGATAACTGAAAGTTTTGGAATATGGATCATTGAAATTTCCTTGCCTGGAGGTGAATTCATGGCTTAGCGGCATGAAAAGAGCCATCTTTTAATATTTTTAAATAAGAAATTGTAATTGCTTTCTGTCCCTGCAGATTTACATCATACGCTTCATTGTTCTTTTACATTTTATGAGAAAAAATAATGATGCTTATGTTTTTTTACTTTTTTTTATTTTTTACATCATAAATATCACTTGTTTTTGAATGATTGATTTTTACAGCATCGTTTGTTGTTTTGATGTTATTGAAGCTATTTTCTATATATTTTAAATTTTTTTTAATAAAAGATGACTCGGAAATAAATCAACAACGTCATTCCTGCGCCTTTATTTTCTGTCAGTATAATCCCCGTGTAATCTCTTAGCTGAAATTCTCTAATAAGTTTTTAACAGTGAAGCATTTCATTGAGTTTCAGTTTCGTTATAAGTTATGCACAGTGAGTTCATAAAAGTCCGTACACGGTCTTCATTACCGTTGGTAATATATATGTACTTCCATTTACAACATCGTTTTAAATAAAATAAATATTCATATTGTGGTATTTTTAAAGTATAAAAAAAATCAGTTTTGTAAATACTACGGAATTCAGTTTTTTATAAGTTCTACTATTCTATACACTAATTATTATTAGCATGTAATATACTGAAGTTCATACTCGTTTCTAAAAATGAAAAAAAAAATAAATCTGATGCGGACTTCACATGACTTCCTTGTATGGCCAATTAAATTATACGCATTTTTTGCTGCATTTCTTTTAAACTTATTTCATAGAATTTTATTAGAGATGTATTTCTCATTCGACTAACACAGTTCTCACTTCGCGGCAAGGCAAAAATACGTAAAACTTTAAAATAATTTCATTAAAAATTGAAAAATATAGAAAAATATTAAACACCAAATACTGTTATAACAATTTTAAAAACAATTTTTAACATTAAAATTAGAGTTTCTACGCAAAAACAAGAAATTGGGCCTGCGAGCAAGCAGGCAGATTTTTCGGTGCGCGAAACTGAAAGTTTACATTTGGTCTCACTCGGCAAAAAGACACTGAAAGTGCAGAAACTGATTTAATTCACTACTAAGCTACTAAACTGATTTAACTACTAAACTGATTTAATTCACTACTAAACTGATTTAATTCACTACTACAGCTAAGTTTTAAATGTAAAGAAATATGGATGCTTGGTTAGGCTTAGCCGCACTTAGCAGTGCTACAAGTATTGCATTCAGATTAATAGCGTTAACCGGAACCTAAGAACAACACAATCCAATCATTTTTAAAGCATAAAATACACAATTTACCAACATATAAGAATTATATGTACATATATACATATATGTAAATATTTAGTATATTTATATACTTTTGTTGCTTTCCATTGAAATGAAAAGGGAGGTGCACAACTACATGTTGTAGCAGTCCTATGTACAAAATTGCAACGTTCTGAGGCCATTAGTTTTTGAGTTATGAGAGTTACATGTGTACGTACGTACAGACGCTACGAAAAACTCTCTTCTGAACCCATTTTAAATCCATTTTGCAATCCGTTTGCGAAAACGAGTCCTTCATTCTCTCCTTACGTACATATGTTACGCAAACACTACATAAATTTGCATTCGATGGCGGTCAAAATGGATATTTTCGTTGAAATATGATATCCCAAATATTTCGGGATTACAATACTTTCCTTACTTCTTACAAGGAAGGACACATTTTTGGCTCTCGTTCGACCAAAAGTGGGACGGGATAATTAATTTGAAAACTTGGGACTATTTTAGGTTTTTCAGTGTCAGAAAATGAAACATCTCTTTCGTCAAAAGGTCGGTTAAAAATACATTAGAATAACTCTAAGGCCCCTTTTTTATTTAAAGTCATTCCTTAATATTTCATGTAATTTACAAGTGTGGAAAATTCTTTAATTCCTAACTTTGTTATATTATAGTATGCAAAATATATTTTCATACAAACCATTTATAAGTTTTCAAATGCTAAATATACATAATTAATATTCAAATGGAGTTTCATTATAACTTTAAGACCTCCACTGTTCTCTAGAACTCGATATCTACAAGAATCCTTAAAAAATATCTATGTCATATTTAATAAAAAATTGTTTACGACAGTGTCCTTATCGCTTAATCTGTTAATACCATATTTTTTCCTAATCTGATATTTAATTTTTAATCATGGAAATTTACATGTTTAATTCTTCAATATGTGTACGTTCCCTGAATTTTCTCCTAAGCTGATGGCAACTCCTGAATTTTCTGGAAACACGATCTCAATATTTCGGTCAAATTTTAGGGTACGCATGTCAAGCATTTTGCATTTAACTTTTTAGAATGTTTATAAACTTTTGCTAAACATAACTGCTGGTACCAAGAATCCGTATAAAATATTAGATTTTATAATTCTTGCAAAACTGTTTTTTAAATTCTAAAAGAGGAATATTTGCTTTAATTAACAGATTTTTAGCCCAAAGGGGCTTTGTTCCTGAAGGACTATTGTTTTCGTTTTGCGATTTTGCGTTGAATCACTATAAATGCCCGTTTCATTTTTTAAACTATTGCCACCAAATGTTAGAGTCCTTCGTTATATTTGAAGAAATTAAATAATGAAAAATCTGCATAAACGTATGTATATTTCTCGCATTGTGATAAAACAGCGGTACATAGAGAAATCGAAATTTGAATGACGTAATCCTACTGCGAATATGGGCATGTGGAAGGCCAAATTTGAAATTTGGAATTTGTTTTATAATCGATTTCATATTTTGTAAAACTTTAGCGAATTTAGTAACAAACTCAGCGATTTAAAAGCGAGCAATAGCAACACTCTACGGCCAGGGGGGGATACCTTTTTAGCTCCATTGGGCGCGGAACTGTGTATTGGAAATTCTAAAGATAGGCTCATTTTAAAATTATTTTGCGACATTGCTACTGAACTGAATTTTATGGTTTAAGTGCAAAGAACATGATATTTAACAAATAAAGGTAACACACAAAACTTTAAAAAAAACGCCCGTTTGGACGTAATTTAAAATTTGAAACCTTTCAGATTTTTTTTCTTTTTATGACTGGAATTATATGCCTTCAACCAGCACTAGCGAAAATAAAACGTTGCGTCATTACGTTTACGGACATCAGTAGAATAACATGTAGATTCCTCAGTGTTCTATTAAATAAACGTTGAAGAACTCTAGTGAAATATTAAACGACTTATCGCTGAGTTCGAATAAACAAAGTCATAGACTCAAGAAGGGTTAACTACCCTTTATTTCACTCAAAATAAAATGAACAGTTAGCCGCCCCTTGCTTGAGCTTGCATCCAAAATAAGAAATAAGAATTAATTAGAACTAAGTAAAAGAGACTTAGCCGAAGCTAACGCAAATCTAACGTAGATTAATTTAAACTAGCGGGATAATATCAAAAGCCAAATAATATACGGCCGAGCGTAACAGCTTCTAGAAAGACTTAACCCGAAGGTAAACCCCGCGCTACAGAGGATTCCGAGTAAATTCTTAGAAATGTAATTTGTATTATGTAATGCGTGAACTATGTACAATGCAAGTCTTCTCAGTAAATATAAGCTGTACTATGTAATGTGTATAATATGCACCATGCAAACCTGTAAACAATAATGAATGCGTAGTGTTAAACTATGTGTTAACCTAAATACCTAAGATGTAAAGTACCTTTAACATAAGTATTAATCAATCTCTCTGTGTGTAATATGTACCATGCAAGTCTGTAAATAATAATGAATGCATAGAGTTAACCTAAGTATCTAATCATGTATAATTAACGTAAATATTGAACCTTACGGATGCAAAGAACCTTAAACATAAGTCATATTCAATTTCCCAGTAAATGTAATGTGTAATATGAAATGTGTGAAATATGTACCATGCAATATGAATGTAAATGCACCATGCAAGTATGAATAAGCAAGTCCGAATATGGTACGGCATGTGTAATAGTCGTGCAAGTCAGAGTATGGCAATATGTACCATGCAAGTCTGAATGGGTAGCGATAACCTAAGTACCTAATTATGTCATTCTAGAAAAGGGTGCTCATACCAATTAACCGTAACGGTAGAGGGGATGGTGCCCACGTCCTCCGTCACTCACTCACTCTTACGAAGTAAGCTGATCCTTCCTTTAATACTACTTCTAACTCATTTGCATTCAACGCGGTTTTAAAACCTCCTTCTGGTAGGGATTTGTAAGTGGAAACAAGAATCGATGGAAAAGTATATTAAAATTAAAATAACTGCTACAAAATTAAAATATACCTTGCAAACATACTAACCGCATTCTTTCTTGTGCTCTCTTTTAGATGGTCTTGTGGACTGTGCCGACAGTGAGTGTTGCTCCTTGAAGGAAAAATGTGAAAATCATATTTTGTGCCAAGGTGCTCCGGATCCCTTGGACATTCTGTTGAGAAAGCAGCCTCCGGCTATCACTGCTTCTTTCTTCGAACGCATGCAGTTTCTCATCGAAGAACAATCTTTGAGAAATGGATCACCGATGAAGACAGCTATTAATGGCAGGTATAGCCTTGGCCTTTGCACTTAGATCAGAATTTTCCATTGAACATTTCATTGTGGTGTTTTTGAGACAATATGTAAAGGGTGTCCCGTAAAGAACGCAACCTTTAGTGCGTAATGATTTGCAAATTCAATGAGGAAATTAATTAATTTAAGTATTAAATTTTTACACACTTTTGCAGTGTATGCTACCTGTGATTATGTATGAGATAATGTGATATTACTCAAATGCCCTCTACAACTCTGCAAGCACATTCTCATTCATTCGATGAAATTTTCCAAACCTTTCGGCATACTTGCACTTCTAGTTTTGAAATCTCTCGTAAAGTATTTTCTCCCTCCCGTCCACGTGTCTTCGTTGGTAATACACACTCGGCGTGTATTCGAGAGGTCCAGGCGAGGGCATTGCAAATTCCGCATGCCTCCTGTTCCAAAATAACTTAATGTCTCTGCAGTGGCGCCCGCACTAAAAGGTGGTGGATGATGATTCTTCACCACCAGGATTTGGCGATTGAGTACCCTAATCCCCAGTAGCCCTTTAAAAAGGGGGAGTATATCAGGTATTTTCTCTTTCCTTTCCTCATGATTTCGTGTTGTAACGATAGGCGCGTATTCGAGAGGTCCGGGTTCGTGTCCCGACGAGGGCATTGCTCATTTTCCGCGTCTCCAGCATGCAAAATAACCTAATCACTCTATAAGCTGCCGAAGTGATCTTTGTTTGCTGGCGTACGGACGAGAATTACAATACACCCCCCCCACACACACACACACAGGGAACGAAATTACAAGATCTAGGTGGAAAGTACTCAAATGTTGTGTACGTTGGCGAATAGATGTCACCGGGTTTATAGCAACATTATCACTCGAGTTGGCGATGTTTTCCGCAGAATAACTCACACGAGGACATCCCGAGGATTTAATGCCCACAACAGAACCAGTTTTCTCAAATTTAGATTTTCTGATCCCAGTCAACTTATTCGGTGCATTACGCTGAGCAAACATTTCATAGAGTCTGCAAACAGTCTCTAAACAACTTTCATCATATTTGTAATACGTTTTCACTACGACAACGAAGAGTTCCGTGTACCATTCCTAATCGTAGAGAAAACAGGTGATGATCATGCGCTATTCCTGACTTCTGACTACAAAAACAACAGACGAAAATTGTGTACCTTACTAGAACAAAACAGAGAGCATATCAAAAGTTGCGTTCTTTTTGGGACACCCTTTATTTCAGGTTTTGAACTAAACTTTTCATGATAAAGTTTTAGAACTATATTTTGCCGTTCTTAAGTTATTTCATACTTTATTAACATTGAGTTATTTCATAAGTTTCGTTATTTACATTAAGTTATTTCATACTAATTATATAAAAGAGAATTTCTTATAATTCGATAGCTAAAACTAACGTGTTTTAAGATTCAAAAAAAAAAGACTTTGCTTCACGTTTTTTACATTTAAAATACCTGTTTAATCTATTTATTCATAATGAAAATTTAGCAGTTTCTTTATGATTTGAAACCTTTGTTCTAAGATGTAAACGGCCCACTAGAGACCGAACGGTAAATTCGCTGAACACTCATAGTTCGGTCCGAGGTTCGAATCCCGCGAACGAGCTGGGTGTGTGTATGGCGTATTATTTTACCTAAAGTTTTACGTATTAAACTTTCTTTGAAAACTAAATACTAACTTTTAAAATTTGATAACTTGATCAGTTTAAACCCATGTTAAACAAAAATAAATTTTATTTATGAAAGATCATGTTATAAAGAAGTATATAATCCTCTGGTGCATGTGCTTGCAGACCTTTTCTCCCTTACTTGTATGTAGAAATTTTTTTTAAGCCTAGAAGGGCTGTTAGTCTCGAAACGGCATTTTGCGTCAATAAACTTTTCAGATTGTTACCACCAAATATTACCTCTGCGTATTAAATCTGTATTATATTTAAAGAAATTAAATAATAAAGAATTTGCATGAATGTATGCATGTTTCTTGCATTGCCAATAAACAACGATACCAAGATCCATCAAACTTTGAATGACGTAATCCTCCACCCGAATATGCTCACCTGGGAGCTCGAATTTGAAATTTTGAATTTGTTTTATTCTCTGTTTCATATTCTGTAAAACTTTAAAGAATTTTTGATTAAGATACTCAACGATTTCAATGTGAGCAATGGCAATGCGGAATAAAAGGGATACGGAATGTACGGAATAGGACACTTTTATCTTCAGCACGTGAGACTGTCTATTGGATATTCTAAAAATATGCCGTTTTTAAATATTTTGGGTTTTTGCCTTCGAATCGAATTTTATGTGGCGTAAGTGTGAAGACGGGATACTTAATAAATAAAGTTAACACACAAAGTTTTATGATAAAAAGGCAAAAAGAAAATTTGGTAAGCCATCTTACAGTCGCCCTGTAAAAGGGAGAGTATATAAGGTATTTCCTCCCAGCTTTCTGTATGCCTTCGTGGTGTAACAGTAGCACACTGGGTGAGTATTCGAGCGGTCCAGGTTCGAGTCCCGGCGAGGGTATCGCATATTTTTCACATCTCCCGCATTAAAAAAAAAACCTAATGACCCTACACACTAAGGATGAGAAGATGATGAAATGTGTTTTAATTTCGGACCACCTACTGCTGAAAGTGAAAATAAAAGCATTTTGTTTCAAATACGAATTTAAGTCACAGATCTATTTATCCTAAATGCTATGAAAAGTTTGAAATTGGAGATGACTGAACGAAAAACATACTTGAAATGTGTGCCATAGCTCTTGTACTAGAAGAATAGGAAGCCGAAGAGAAGAAACTCCAATTATTCCCTCAGCTGTAAATCCTATAAACAAAGGAACAAATTTACTGCCTAATCTTGCGAATAATAACACAGTTCATTTGCTTTACGAATTTAAAACTGTTTTCGAAAAGGAAGTGATTAAGGTTAAAAGAAATAATCAATTTAGCAGAATTTACTGGATGAATATTTTTAGCGACGACTAAGCCCTTCTGAATTAAACAAACGAAATTTCTATGTACATTTTGTCCTTGTTAATATTTAAATTCTAAATTATGAAAGCAAGTTAAAACAAGTAGGAGGTTTTTAGCAAGTAAAACAACAGCTTATCTACTTTATAAAGTTCAGCTGTAATATGGGATTAACGAAAAGCGAAAGCCAAATAGGCGTACTTGATTACTTATATTAATAAGCAATGAGTGTTCTTAAAACATTAAAAAAGAGTATAATACATTAATTTTCGTGTTTTTATTTTCCTTACACATATTATCCATTCATAGTATTTTAACGTAATAGGTATTCACAGTATTTCAGATAAATATTGAATGTAAATTGATAAATATTGATACGTTTTTTTTCTGCCGCCCAAAATGGATAGTCGTCAGTGACTCCGTAACGAGCGTCCCGGTTCAAAACCCGGAGAAGGTAGGGATGTTTGTAAATGTACAGTGTTCTCTGCGGCTTTGGAACTTTGTGGCTATACCGGCTTTCAGCAAGGAAAATTTATGCTGCTCTTTCCATTTCCTAATGTAATCCCATATAGGACCTGACAGTGAAAAGGCCTGAAGGGAAGGTTTTCTCCTGGAGATGCCGTCTCTGCAGCATGGCGGTAGTCTAAATATATGTCCAGTTGAAAACCCTCTCTCGTGTGGTTTGGTGGTCAGGTTGTACAAAATATCTAAGCAGCGTCGAGATTTTCAGACATGATGGTGTTTGAGCACTAAGCATCGCAAATATGCTGTATTGGATTAAGATACAGCGAGTTAGGTAGTCAGGACATTAATTGAGCACTAAGAATCGCAAATATGCTGTATTGGATTAAGATACAGCGAGTTAGGTAGTCAGGACATTAATTGGAATTCATTATTATACTCCTCGAACCACTCCAGCACCATTCGAGACTTATGACATGGGGAGTTGGCCTGCTGGAAGATCCCGTTTCCAGTTGGGAAGATAGATTCCAAAGAATGGTACAACGGATCAGCGATTATGTACAGATAGACCGCAGATTTCATGGTCTGTTATGCCACAACTAAGGGCTCCAAAAACACCCATGGGAATGTCCCACAAGGCAAAATACCGCCATCATCAGCCTGTGTATGATCGACTGTACAGGGCGGGAGCAACTGGTCGCCTGGAAGACGGCGTGCCCTGACGCGACCATGACGTGATGAATGAGAAATCGTGATTATTCCGATCCGGCATCTGTCTCCCGCTTATCCATTTTCCAGTCTCAGTGTTTCCAGGCCCACCGTGTGGTGTAGTTGACAACAACACTTGTTCAACAGAGGCACAGGAGTGGGACGTCTGCTGTGCAGTCCCATATCCAATAGTGTCCGCTGAAATGTGTTTCCAAAATACTTGCTTTGGACCTGCATTTTATTGGACTGTCAACTGAGCCACTGTCTGGCACCTATTTTGCTGTACCAAGCAAGACATTCTTCTTCATCATTTTTCTTTCATGACGCGTGGACGTCTAATGCCTTGATGTTTGCTGCTGGTTTCACTGTCATGTATCCACTTTGCATAAATATTCACAACTCACACCGTGAACAACCTACCAATCGTTCAGTTTTGGAAATATTCCTTCAGAATCTTCGGCTCATTACAATCTGCCCACTATCAATTTCGCTTAGATCAGTAGCCTTTCTCACCACTCGCAAAAGTAAGTGCAAGAATGTTTCCTTACCTTCTCCAGCAGTAGTTAAATACCATTTCCACTTAATAACTTGCTCTTCACGTCATCCAGACGAGTTCATTAAAAAATGTACGGATACCGCCAATGTTTTGGCTCGTCAGTGTATATGAGGCTCAAAGCTCTCGCCAGCCAGCAGGCGTAACCCTGTACTCCTTGCCACGATGAATTACGTGGGCTTGTACTGATGTCACATAATTAAGGTTAGTAATAACAACGAAAAACAACGTTTTGTTCTTCTATGTCTTTTCCCGTTGCGTTTCCCATATTTTCTTTGCAATCAGTTTATAGTTTTG